TTTTTTCCCCTGGCTGGGGGGGTGCCCCTTGGGCGGCCCCCAAGGGGTTGGGGTTGTTGTGGAGAGGTTTTGGGGGGGGGGGGGGGGGGCACTGCGGTGCCCCCGTCGTGCTGCAATTCCACCGCATCCCCCCATGATCCATGCAATGGTGGTCTGCTCCGTCGTTGTCACTTGTCACACCTCACCTCCAGCCGATCACGTCGCTGCTGTTGCCGTAATGAGCACGAAGACACCGCTGCTGGTTGCCGTGTTACTCCTTTCACCGCCGGTCTGTTGGGATTATTCCCTGACAGCGGCAAGTTCAGCGGTTGAAGAAACGGACCTGCAAGTGTTCGGGGAGCCTGAGCCGGGTCTCGAGTACGAGTTCGGAAATGCTTTGTTCGACTTCGATGTACTCGTGACAGGTGCGTACAGACGTCGTAGCGCCATAATATGCAGCAGCGCACTAAGAAGGGCCACCTATGCTGTGTACGGCAGTAAGATTCGATCTTCCTCTCTCGTCCTCTCTGCTCTATCATGTGCCTGTATCAAGCATGCGGACCACATCATGTGTTCAAGATATGACTGCTGTTCAATGGTTGCTACCAGGTTTGCAGTCTTACAGCAGTGCTAGTACTTGCTTCTAGCTGGTGGTTGCTTTAGACTGTACTGCAATTGCTTCTCGGTTGCTAAGTTGCAAGAAGTGCATGGTTTCCTTTTTCGTTCGTCTGCAGATCCATCGCGGTGGCATACACACCATCATGGCGGTGTGTAGACTATTGTAGACTATCCCACGGGTGCCTTCTATGTACACAGGCCGTAATTCGATTCAGTCTCGATTAACCGTAAGATTACGCCAAATCACGACAAGGGCGTGTTGACACGGCTTGCTGTCGCTGATCATGTGAATGGCCCCATACGACAAAGAATATCTCCCCGCGAGAGAGCGTAGCACACACAACCGGTGGCGAAGAACCAGAAAACCAGATGGGCACGAATGTATTGTCGTCTCAAACTCACTCTAGGCGGATGTCAAATGGATGGCTATGCTTGTAAGCAATGCCGAGAGACCCCCCCCACCTCGCCCTCTGTGCGCTGTGCCCTCTCTCTGTCCACTTGCTGTAAAAAGGATACGAGCCTTTTCTAGACCACTTGATCAACCCTGCGCAGAGCGTCGCCGGCTCTTTGAACGGAACATGCGACACCGTCTACCTCACGCATCCCCGGACAATGCGGCTTTGCTACGAGGGAGTTTCGGTTCCGGTGACTGCGGAGGGGAGCGGTTGGGCGGCCCGGCAGCTGGAGGAGACGCCCACGAGATGGGACGGCATCATCCACCTGGTGTGTTTGGGCTCCCACCCCGTCTTCTTTCGCTGTGCTGCTGTTGGGATTGTAGTCTATTGTGTTGTAGCAACAGCAGCGTGTTCCTGGTGCGTGCCCTCCGTCGACACGTGGTTGGGGGCGTGCGTGCGTTTCGGAGAGGCTGAGCTCGTACGTTTTTTGTACGTGCCCACACGAACCCTCGCCGCAGCCACTCGCACGAAACGCCAGAGTACCATTGTGCGCAAAATGGTTGCCCTCCAAATAGTGTTTGCGTTTGTGTGGCTGACGACCCGTCACTAGCTTCAAAAGTGTCTTGCACTTGTTTATCATGGTTGTGTTTTTTCGTTGGGGACTTCTAACCCCCCTCTTCCCCCCCTCTTCTTTGCGTCGTTGATTACCGATGGCTTTTTCTCCGTTGACGTTGGAAGGGTTTCGAGTCGTCGGCGAAAAGCCTCCGACTGGAAACGATAGCGGCCAACGTCAAGACTTCGGACGACTACCACTACCTGTGGAACTCGGACATCCCGTGCCAGAAGGAAGGCACCCCTTTCGA